TTCTTATGAGAAATTTCCATGCCTCTTTGTTATTTTACAGGATTGTTTAATAGGTCTTTAACAATCTATACTAGTTAATGGGAACATTAGGAGCATATCACTGGTGGGATTTATCCATTCAAAACAAGCTTGCATGGTGTCCAGGTAGATTTGTGAGAATTAGTGCAAAGCTAGGTCCTTGATCAGTTTTCCGATGGAATTGCGCTACTTACTTTTATATAAGTCTAGAAAGTGTGTTAATTACTCCACATGTTTTGAATAACTAGATTTGGCAACTAAGGCCTGTTTCTATAAATCAAGCTCTTTGTGATTCAGTATAATGGCTAATGCATGGTAGTGGTTGGTCGGTGACAGATATTAAAGGAGTATGGAAACGTATGGCATCACAGTCGAGTAAGAAGATACCTGACCCAAGAAGACTGGGCTATCCCTGAAGCAAAGGGTAAACCATGGTACGGTTTGCTGATGCTACTGAGAAAATACCCGGAGCATTTCGTCATCAACACTAGATCAAAGGGAAGAGTTACACTTGAATTCGTTTCCCTCGTTTCCCTACTCCCATAATCACCAAGATGATTATGCTACTATTGTTATTGCAGGATGATTGTTAGTAGTATATCTTTAATGTTTCCACGAAATGAGTGTAGAAGTGGGGTTACTGTTTTGACCTTGGTGACTCGTCGGATTATGCTTTTCTCTCTTTTCTTTGTCACGTTTTATATGTTAGAATGACTATGACATTTGATGAGTAAAAAAACACTCTCGGATTTAACTTTTTCTATCTTTTCTAATACAAGAGATAGCATAAGCTATTTAGTATTTACAGCCATGCTATTCAATACCTTTTAGTTGTTTCTGTATGGAGAAAGCTGATTTAATTTGATTAGCAGATTTTCTACTTTAGCGATAACGAAAGGAAAAATAAAACGAAAATATATCACAATCCGAAAGTAGTAAGAAAAAAAAAAAAAAAAAAAAAAAAAAAAAAATGATTTTGTTTCACTTTTCTTTCAACGATCGGCACGTCAGCTTGCTGCTGCTTGTTACTCTAGAGGATCCCATGTTACACACAACACATCAAGAGAGATATCCCAGATTAAAGTTTATTTTACAATTTACAAATTCGAGCCTATTAAGTTTTAGCCTAATGAAAACGCTTTATTCAAACCCAAAAACCTACTTTCTTCTCTTGTTTGATCGTCGGTGGTCAAGATCTTAAGCTGTTCGCAATAACATTTGTTTTTTGTTTTTTTTTTTTTTATTTTAACAATTTTGTTTCAGTTATAGTTTGGCGCTGCTGCACCAACTTGCGGTTTTTTTATACATGGTTTGGCGCTAGCTGCTGCACCAACTTGCGGTTTTTTTATACATGGTTTGGCGCTAGCTGCTGCACCATGTGTCTATCAACTTGCCTTTCTTTTTTTTTAACTTAAGACTTAAGAGCAATAAATAAAGAAAACTCCTTAGATTCTTGTTTTTCTTGATTGCAACTGGCGCGCAGTGGGACAGTACCGCAGTGGCATAAGTTTTTCTAAAATTCGTCGAAAATATTAGATAGAAAAAAAATGCAAACATGCAAGCAAAAAGCCTTAGATAAAAAAAAAACTATAAAGTAATAGATTTTACAGTTTTCACTCAAAACTATTAACAAAAGATAATCCGTTTTTCACCGACTATATATTTGTAAATTGTAATAATTGATGTGATTTATCATGAATCCATTGAAAACATATATAAAGTCTTTGATTTTGAACATACAGAGTTTTTATTATCATTAGTGACTAAAGTTGTTGAAATACGTTAACAATAATCCATATGCTTTACAATAATTAAAGAACCATAACCTGGGTTTTAGTAATCCTTGTTTTCTCCTCCAAATTATTAACGTAAGATATTCTATTCATTGTTAACGTAACATAACCTCGATATTTAATTACTGTTTAGTTTGGTCAGATTCTTTAATTTTTGGAAAATTTGGAAAAATAACCCACATAATTTTATAAATTAGGTAAGTAACTAAAAAAACAAAAGTGATATTGCGTGTATAAATTGTAAATCGGACTCTTTTACCCTTTTCTCTTTTCAGATGCATATATATACACAACACAATACTATACATGTCCATTTCTCTCTCCATACTCCAATGCACACCAAAACTCAATTTCACACTCATACAAAAACAAACATTGCACAAGCCTCTCAATTTCACGTTCATGGTTTCAGCTCTCTTTTGTTTTACCAGAAACTCTCACCAGAAGGTCAAATCTGTTACTCACCTCACAATTTCACCACCACTAACAACATATTTGCCAGATTGTGTCCATAATCTTCACTTTTCCACTAAAGTAATTATGAGGATTGTTAGTTTTAGAGATCCATGAGTATAAAATTAAGAATTTGAAACCACTAAACTAATGATGATGAAGCTTACGAAGCTGAAGTCGCCGCCACCACCACCAATTGGTGGTCCACTACCGCTGTTGTTGTCGTCACCATCGCCACCGACGCTATTGCCGTTACCATAGCCACCACCACCACGCTAGGCCACGCTTCTCTCTCTTCATGCGTGTCCACAAACCGAAGCGAGTGTGAAGGATCACGTCACTCTCCTCTTCACGCGCGTGTCCTCATGCATTAACGAGGAGTTATTTGACTTTTCATCCCTCTCTAGTGTTATTTACTTAATTTTGTACACAAAAGTACTATATTCTTAAATTTTTTATGAAAAATGGTTATTTCTGCAAACCATTCTTAATTTTTCCTTTATAATAATAGAAAAAGACTGATGCTTTGTCCAAAAAAAAGAAAGTAAGGAAAAGAAAAGAAAAGACTGATGCATGATAAACGTGAGTGCGAAAGTTGGTGTTTAGACCATTTCTATTGGTCATTTTTTTTGTAAGTGTGTTTAAATTTTTTATAATTAATTTTAGTGTTATTTATTGATGGATGTCTTTATAATGTGTAAAAGCTATGTTGTATGAAAATGGAAACGGAAACTTGGAAGCGAAATGTTTCAGAAATGGGAAACGATTTTTTTCTAAAATTAAGGATTTGGAAACGTATACACATACATATAAAATATATGTATATATATATATAACATTAACATAAAACTATAAAAATGGTTTAATTAAACAATACAAATCCAAAACATTAATATTAAATAGGTTAACTAAAATTCTAAAAGATAAAGATTAAAAGATTCAAGTTCAAATATTTAATTAGACCAATATTTTCATTCTCATTTTTATTAGTTTCATCATAGATCATATACAGATGTTTCCAAATCTAGTTTGTCGATAGAAAGATCTTAAAACTCAGAATCTTCCAAAATTAGTTATATGTATTATAAATCTTAATATTTTTAATTTTTATTTATTAAGTTTCCAAAGTCAATAAAAAGAATTTGTCGCGTGAGTTTCCATCATATTTCCAAACATAGATTTTTAGGAAACGTGTTTCCGAAGAGTTTCCGTTTCCAAAACGTTTCAGAAACGGGAAACGGACCACGAAGAGAGTTTCCATGCAACATAGTGTAAAAGTGTCTTTAAATGTCACATTTTCACACACTTTAAAGAAACACAACAATAAATAATATTAAAACTAATTAAAAAAAAAAAAACTAAAAACACTCATAAATCATCACTAAAAATCTAATATAGTTGCTAGTAGCGCCTTTTGATCCGGTCTTTTGTGTTTTAGCCTTCGTCTCGTTTAGCCTCTCACCAGATGTGGTGGTTGCTTTAGATTCTATCTGGTTCGATCTCTTGCCGTTTATCTTGTTCGAGTGTGATCTGGATTGATTTGGTTCTCCTTGTCTCTACTCTAAAGATCTGGTCCAAAATCTCATCTGTTCATTGGTTGGTTTCTTTCGAGGCGTTAAACAATCATATTCTTTGATTTCGCCGCTTCCGAGAGTGTTGGTGTGATATTGATGTCTTTGGTCTAGACCCCCTCTTGCCGGTATGGATTCCTTAGAACTCGTCTATGTGAGGTAGTAGTCTTCATCGTAATAGGTAGTACCGCTGTCCGTTTGGTTGGAAGTTCCTTACCCCCTACGGAGTGGCTCGTCGTAAAGCTTTTCCTTTATTTTGTTTGGTAATGGGATTGACGAGATGTTGTGGTTAAATGTCGGGTTATATTGAACTGCTTCTTTGTTTCAATTTCGGAATTGTTTTCATGTTTTTCTAAGGCTTGTTTTACCTTGTTGTTTTCCTTTTCTTTAGGCTTTGCTTCCGAAATTATCTCTTTAATCGTCTGCTTAAGTTTCTGGGGTTATTTGTTAACCATCGGCTTAGTGTTTCATCCTTGTATTTTATCTTGATGGCTATAAAAATCTTTCAGACGAAAAAAAAAAAAATTTGTTAATATATATACATCTGCTTTACAATCATTGAGTAAAGTTTTTTTTTCAATCTTCTGCTGCAGTCACAAACGTAAAATGATTGCAAGATCGAAGTTTGTTTACAGACTGAATTACCCTTGCTATAAAATAAGATTATCATCAAATTTAATTAGTATATAAAGTAGGTTTTGATAAGATTCTTTTGTTTTCTTTTTTCTTTATCACCTCGAGATTTCCAATTTTATTTGATTAAATAAAAAGGATATATAAAAATTAGCCTAAAACTGGCTCCTTTAATTATTATTTTATCACACATTTTTAACCATTTTGAACATAGTTGCTTCTATCTACCTAATTAACTCAATAATTAATTACTATTATATTTCTTTAGAATGTAAATGAAAAATTATCATAAAATAACATGCAAATATTTATGTTGATGCATAAAAATACAATATATTTTCTTATTTGTCAAAGATAAAGTAATTTTTATACACACTAAAAAAAAATTAAACACCATTAAACTTACTTTTATGTAAATGATATCTAATCATTAAATGGTATAGGTGGATAATGGTGTAGATATATTAAGATACTGTCTTTATGTCTCTATATAGCTATATATATATATATATATATATATATATATATATTGATTATTATTTTAGTCTTATTTCTGTCTACATGTCTCCATATGAATGCTCTCACCAAAATAAACTCTTCTTCCTTTTTTTCTCAACACATTCCTTATGAACTTTGTATACTTTGGCTATATATATCAACTTAAACCCAAAGAACTAGAATGCACAATATAACAAACCATTCTTCTGCCATGGATATCAAAGGTACTTTCCTGGTCCTATCTTTCTTCATTATATTACACAATCTTTTTATACATTTGATATTTACAAATTAAAATGCATTTATATGTAAAATCAGTATCAATGCTCTTCCACTATCGATTTGGTAGTTTTTCTTCTCCAAACCATGTTGCAATTATATATAGCTTTGCAAAGAGAGGATTATCTCCATATGTGTTTGAAAATCTGTTAATCTTTTTTCTTCCTACATTATGGTTTTCTCGGTGGGCTTGAGGAAGACAACGTTTTCCACTTGATCTAATAAAATATTCATCTCAAGCTAACAAGAGAAAGCTTTTTTTTTTGTCCTGAAACTAAGACTTATTGAAATCTCTAATGATTTCTTATCCATATACTCGTAAACGTATAACAGTAGAAACTTATGATACAAATAGTTTGTTTCTTTGATTACTTTGAAAAAATGTTAGTTTGAAAATTCACTGATTTTGCTTAATCAATGCTGAATCTGGAATTTTGTTTTGCTTTTGTTTACATATAATATCGTTTGTTTCAGTTAGAGTATACTACTCCCTCTGTTCCTAATAGTTTGATGTTTTAGAGTTTTCACGCATATTAAAAATTCAATCATTGTTTAATCATTTGAACATTAATTTTAATATTACATATTTTAAAATAATTATCAACCAATAGTAATTTAAGAAAGTTAATTATTTTCAATCATTACGCCTTGAAGTTTACGATTTATTATTATAAATCAATAAAAATAAAGAAAAAAGCTAGAAAATCAATCTTTGTGGAACAAATAACAAAAGCTAGAACATCAATCTTTTAGGAACGGAGAAAGTAATAAAGTAGAGCAACGACTGATCTAAAGCTAGTCTACTTCAGTAGATTGGTTAGGTAGAGTCTTTAAACATAATCTTGCAATATTGGAGATTTAAATTGCATTATACATAAAAAGAATTGGTTTAGAGATTATGATAGTTTTGTTCCATCTACGGTAATAGATTATTTAAACCCACATGGAATCCAATAGGTGAAAAGGGAAAAGAATCCACTAGGTTGGTCGGTAATAATACTCCACTAGATTATTAGGGATGGGACAAAACAAGTTGAAAGGTTTGGTGAATTCGAAAAGTCTTCGCCGCCTTACCTTTCTTTTGAATACTGTACTAATTAGGCAAAAAAAAACACATTTATTTACTGGCAGATGCTCTGAAAATTACGCTTTCCGATATCGCGAGAGCTCCTTAATTAATGCATATTATAAAATGAACGATTTTACGAATCCACATATTCCTGGGTCAACGGGAACCCTTCGTTTCTTTCTTCCCACCCTCGTATTATCCTGTTTCTCAAATTTCTCAGCTTTCCGGGAAAATTCACCTTTTCTTTTTTGTTTTCCTGGGAAGGGAAGATTCGTTGTGGTGTGAATTTTTGTGGGCATCTTCAAATTTTCGATTTTTATTCCTTACATCAAACGAGTCACCAACTTCTCTCGTTTTGGGGATTGATTGGAAACCAGCTTTGGATCGAGATTATTTGCTGATTTTTGTGATTTTATTGTTTTTGGGTACTTTCCCTTTGTGGATCGGATCTGGTTGGTGGCTTCTCAATGGGCGCTTTAGATGAGGGACATTTGAATCTGGACCTTGACATTGGAATGAAAAATGGCTGCATTGACCTTGCTTTCGAGCTCCAACCTGAGACTTTAGCAATCCAAGACGCTGTCAAACTTCTCTTGCAAGCTCTTCATGAGGATGTCAATCGGGAAGGCATCAAAAAGACTCCTTTCCGTGTCGCCAAGGCCCTTCGAGAAGGGACCAGAGGTAATCATATGAATCTCTTGCTCTTTTCTTCATCTTATAAGTTACTCTGTTCTTGGTTATTGATGTTCCTTATAGTAGCTTGTTACTTGACTGATTTGTGGTTGAATTTCTGTTGTTATGATCTCCCTTAAGTTATAATGAGGAAAGTATCAATCTGGTGGCTTGTTTTCTCAGGTTATAAGCTAAAGGTGAAGGACTATGTACAGAGTGCTCTGTTTCCAGAAGCAGGGTTGGATGAAGGAGTTGGGCAAGCAGGAGGAGTGGGAGGACTTGTCGTTGTCAGAGATCTCGATCATTACTCTTACTGCGAATGTTGCTTGCTTCCTTTTCATGTGAGGTGTCACATAGGTTATGTCCCATCGGGCCAACGAGTGTTAGGACTGAGCAAGTTCTCTCGAGTCACTGATGTTTTCGCCAAGCGGCTCCAAGACCCTCAGCGTTTGGCTGATGATATTTGTTCAGCTCTCCAACATTGGGTCAAACCGGCTGGAGTCGCTGTTGTTCTCGAATGCTCTCACATTCACTTCCCGAGTTTGGACTTGGACTCTCTGCACTTGTCGAGCCACCGTGGATTTGCGAAGCTACTGGTTTCCTCGGGCTCAGGAGTTTTCGAGGATGAAAGCTCGAATCTTTGGGGTGAATTTCGGAGTTTCTTGATGTTCAAAGGTGTAAAAACGCAAGCTTTGTGCAGAAATGGCAGCTCCGTGGAAGAGTGGTGCCCGAGCGTTAAAAGCTCGTCTAAATTCTCACCTGAAGAAGACCCGGAAATGGTTTCTGCTGTTGTTTCCATCCTGAAATCACTGGGAGAAGATCCGTTGAGGAAAGAACTCATTGCTACACCAACTCGATTCCTCAAATGGATGTTGAACTTCCAAAGAACCAACCTCGAGATGAAGCTAAACGGCGTTAACTCTGCCAAAGTCAACGGCGAGGTCAAAGAGAAAAGGCTGCACTGTGAACTGAACATGCCCTTCTGGTCAATGTGTGAGCATCATTTGCTTCCTTTCTATGGAGTTGTTCATATTGGCTACTTTTGTGCTGAAGGATCCAACCACAATCCTATTGGAAGTTCACTCATGAAATCGATTGTACACTTTTATGGGTTCAAGCTTCAAGTGCAAGAGAGGATGACTCGACAGATCGCTGAGACGCTATCGCCTCTTGTTGGCGGGGATGTGATTGTTGTGGCGGAAGCTGGGCATACTTGTATGATCTCTAGAGGAATTGAGAAGTTTGGAAGCAGCACTGCAACAATCGCAGTTTTGGGTCGGTTTTCGAGTGACAATTCCGCAAGAGCCATGTTTCTAGACAAGATTCATACAACTAATGCCTTGAAGACAGATTCAGGCTCTCCATTTTGAGATGGTTTCATGTCTATTTGTTGTCTTTTTTATGCTTCTGGTTGTCTTTTTTCTTTTCTTGTATGATAAACACTTTGGAAGTCTCTAAACTTCCGAAGCAAACCAATGATTTCTTGGTTTTTGATTCTTCTTCATGGCTTCGTTTGTTTCGACATGGAAAATGAATATCTATCTTTATGTTAGGTGTGACATTCTCTTAAAATATATATAGATTTTGTTAGCCATACTGTTACTATTGGACTTTGTTAGCCATTTCCCTATCCTGTCATGTTTCCAGAGCTTTCAATATAAACGTCTCTCTTTCCAAAAATGGCACTAAGACAAAAAGGATAAAGACAAAGTAATCAGTACACGAGAGAAGATCAAGATTTGTATGGATTCCAAGAATACTTGCGACCCAGAAGGGAAACAAAGTAGATACAATTGTAATGTATTAGTGGGTAATTTATAAGATCTCTCCCCTATTCTCTATATCCTCTCTAATATACAACTTAATGCTAAATCCATCTTCTGATGATGACACAGCCGAATCAAAACTGAACCAAAAGTCTATCAGATGCTTACCGCAGATCTCATTTCCAACAATCACACTCTCGAAAAGATTTTACTCTAAAACCTACACAGCCCTTACTAACTTGAATTGTTCTACTAAGGAAGCCTTTCTCATCTCATGAAGCCAACCAGTCATACCGCAACATCTCCCATTCCAATTGTGCATCAACCATCATTGGGATGCTTAACCGAGCAAAGAGTCACAACAATGTGATCTGAGGGTGGACCTTTCTCGTGTTGAAATCAATGAACACCACTAGTCAAATCTAGAATGGAACAACATAGGGAAGAGCTACAATATCAGCAGATTCTATTCCAAGAGCCTGGTTCCAAACTTGCGGATTCTCAACCAGTGAAGTATCAGAATCTGCTCTTTGCTTTTTTAAGAATTTACCTGACTGACCAAATAGCCATTCTTGTTCAGCATCATCAACCTCATGCAATTCCTCCCTTTTTGGTACGTTCAAAATCTGATCCAAATACTTTAAGTCTGAATGAGGCCGCTTCTTTGCAGATGCTTCATCGTTTTTTTTTACTTTCACTGCAGAAACCGGTGGATGGCTTTTGGGTTCTTGAGAATAAATGAATCCATTAATCTTGTGCTCTTTCACCTCTGGATTAGACACTGTTTCGTGCAACTCAGAAGCAAGCTTTGGATGTGTTTGGCATGCTCCAAAATTTCTTCCGTTCTCCACGGATGATATAGGAGAAACAACTGGCTTATGTATCTTGTTTTTCCTAGATCCATTCTCTGCATAACAAAATTAAAGAAACTCATGCTAATAGACTTTTAACATAAGTAAAACACATTTCCATTTCATATTTAGCACAAAAAACAAAACCAATAGTCCTTTCATAAACACTGAGTGAAAATGAATATACTAATATATATATATAGACATAATGAGTTATCAAGAGTAAGATATAAGGAACATCACATATAATTTTTTCTTTTTTTGGACGACAAGGCATATATATTATCTATCTCAACTGAAAAAGAGTTGGATCAAGGAAAGGACTCACCATACAAGAATCCATTTGTCTCAAGATCCTTTCGTTTGCCAAGAATTCCCTCAGCAGTAAGGTTCTTGATGCCCGCCCTTGAAAACTCCTGCTCTCTAAAATCCCTAGTACCCACAACGTCTTGTTCTCTCTCTTTTAATCTGGGTTCTCCCTCTACAAACTTTGGTTTCTCCTGAACATTTTTCTTTATCATCTCAGTTTTCTCCTCTTTCTTCTCTTTACCACTTACATTTGTTATGTTTTTTGGTTCACTTTTCCTTATCCCTTCATTATCCAATGGCTTATCACTCTTTGTCACACTTTCCCTGCGGTGATTCTTTTCTTGTGGTTCCCTTTTCTTTGCCTGATCATTTTTCTCCACTGGTTTAAATTTAACCTCAGCTCCTTTCTGATCCATGCAAGATGATACTCGGAGAACCGCACTTTCAGACCCTTTTGAAATAGCAGAGTTTTTATGGGTACTGTTTCTCTTTTTGTCAACTTTCGTATGATTGGTTTGAGGAACTGGGCAGGAATTGTTAGTCTCTGTAACTCCACAAGGAAAATCAATCTTTCGTGTACTTTGACTTTCTGTAGCTTCTTCATTTCTGATCCTTCTTGCCAGGTCCTGTATAAACTTAGACTCTCCGTTCCCATTATTCTGCAAGGTATTTGTTACAAGTTTTTCTCTGTCCCCAGTGTTCGGCAAAGCAACAGCAGTTTTTTTGTCCTCCGAAGTTCTACTCTTTTCTTTATCTCGATCTTTGTCTTTCCTATCTTTATGTTTCTCTTTTTTCTCCTTCCGTTCCTTATGTTTATCTTTGCTTTTTTCTTTATCCTTTTTCTCCTTTCCTTCTTTCTTTTCTTTATCCTTCTTGTGCTTCTTCTCCTTGTGCTTTTCCTGCAGTTTAAGTTATATAAGTGATGATTAGAAGAAAGGCATACAAAGAATTAGTTACCTTCACTTGTCAATTCTTGGGTCAAACCTTTATCAAAAAAAGAGTCAATTCTTGGGTCAACTTAAATAAGTTTTCAGAGAAGAAACTTTCAAGACGGACAACCTCCAGTAAGTTGCTAGACTGATATATTTAGCTCAACATACTAATTCTTAAGCTCCTTATACTGCTCTTCCTAATTACATTTCCTGCAGCATCTTAAGATGCTACACAAGCAACTACTCCTCGGAAAGTATTCCCTCAAATTCAATAAGGAGTTGACAGTAAGGTTCAGGTCATATAGACAACCCCTTACGCCAGTAATCATTGGAATACAATTATATAACATCCAACAAAACCACCAGCCACAGAAACACATATTCACTTCAATATTATATGTCAGCATCTCAGCATTCTAAGTTAGTCAAGGATCCTGCAAAGCTTGCTGTGTACTTAAAACAATCATAAGAAAAACAAGTGGAAGGGCACTTATGGTTCTCTCATATGAGGTAGTTTAAGTCCATCAGCATTGATGATTCTCATTACAGGTATCAATTCCTCTTATCACTACATAATTGTTTTGGGTGACAATATCTAAGACTCCACCAACTTAAACAGAAATGCTACATTTATAAAAGAAACTTATCCTGAAACAGTCTCTATGACCCTAACTCCAACAGTAAATATTTCCTAGAAAACAACACAAAGGCACCAACAAATGCGTCCATTTATCAGAACCTCTAGTGTCATGATTTGCTAAAAAGCCTAGAGGCAAAACGTGTTACCTAAGTACTCTAGTCACTCTCCAACAAAAACAAGCTTAGAAACACCAGAAAAGATCATTGATTTTCAAAGAATGTAGAACCTTTAGTAAAGAGTCTGATGCCTCGGTTCTAATCTTCTTGTCATATCCTGGAGGTGGAAATGGGAAGCAACGAGACATGACCACTACTTATCCGTCAAAACACGTTAAAGTGGTATACTTTTAAACCACTCAAGTTACTTTCTCGCTCCTTTATCCCAGCTCCTGACCAGATCAGAATCTATGATCCAGTCCACCATATCAATAAAATCACTTACAAGCTCCAAACTTTCTTTATCATCTCCCAACTTTCACTTTAAATATCCTAAATACACTATAAAATTAGTAATTTTGCACCTCAGAGAACCTCAAGATTTGTCGATAACCTGCAAGAGAATCAAAATCATCTCTCAAATTTCCTAACTCAAATTAAAAACTTTTGGAGTTCATAAAGATATATGAGCAGCTCAAAGCACCTTTTTATCGGAAGCCGACAACAAGTTGGCCTCTTTCCGATTGAATCAACAGATACAACACTTATTCCAATTTTCAATCCCACAGACTCTTTTGACCGCAATTATCAGGGCCACGATCCAATCAAACCCTAAAAAAAAAACAATCGCAAACCAAATCACCAGCCCAGAAGAGAAATTGGTAAGTGCACCAATTGCACACGCAAGAAGAGGTTAAGTAACAGAATTAAAAAAAAAAAACGAAATCTCCAGATAGCACTAATAACGTAAATTAGCTCAAGTATCGTCGGATCAAAATTTCAAACCTTTGTGGGGAAAGACAAAAATCTGAGTTTTTTTATTTTATTTTCAGCTAATGGAAAAATAGAAATCGACGGTGTTCTTTAAAACGCAGCTTCCGTTATTTTTATTTATTGAAAATCATATACAAGAAAGAGAGAGAGATTGGAAATCTAGATGAGAGAGAGAAGAAGAAGATATACAAACGAAGAAGAAAGTGAGAAATATCTTCTCTTCTCTCTCTCTCTCTCTCTCAATCTCCATGTGTTGGCATATGGGTGCGTATATATATACCTTCTCTTTCTGTATATATCTGTAATGTTCTTCTGTGTCTTTTTTTATATTTACGGGCTACTCTTTTATTTATTTGTTCTTCAACGAGAAGAAGAAGATTCTCTCTCTCTCTCTCTCTAAACCCCAGCCAATCAAACTGAAACTTTGGTCTGAATTTCGCAAAATGGGATTTATATTTTATTGCAATTCAACATTTGGGCTGACCCGAAAGAAAGAAGAATGGTAACACAATGGTCAATGGGAGAGGATTTTCTTTTTCTCTTCCGTATGGAGTTTTACTAATCCACATTGACCCGAAAGAAAGAAGAATGGTAACACAATGGTCAATGGGAGAGGATTTTCTTTTTCTCTTCCGTATGGACGAAAGAAAGAAAAGAAGAATGGTGGTAACCTAGAGAGGCCAATAAGGCTTCCCACATACATTCCAAGGCTTTGCAAAAAGAATATTGTAACTTACGGTCCAACTTACCGCTTTGGTCGACAATAGCTGCTATGCTTTGCCAACGCCATATATGACTTAACCAGCTCATCCATTGCAAACCACTCTTCTTCCAGCTCATCCACTACGTCCTTTGGCACGCCACTCTCTGCTATTCTCTTCATGAAATAAGATCTTCTCCTCCTGAGAGCGTCTCTTCTCTTACAGGAGGAGCAAGTACCGGCCCCCCCAAATACATTTCTTGTCTTCATTCCCCAACGAACGGCCCAATGATTACAAAAAGCGGGTCTATTTTTAATATCTTCCAGGCCCAGCCCAACTAGGATCCTAAGTACTAAACTTTCTTCTATTCAACAAAATCAAGCACACGATTGATTGATATACATATACTGTACGAGGTTCTCATCCACACTTATACATTCAAAAGGATTATCTTCTTCGTACAAGCAAAAAAAAAGCTATACAAAATCTTAAAGAGTAATAGTTTTAGAAGGTGGGTCTTTCTCTGCTGTGCAATTGATCCACCAAATCTATGACTTCACTGCAATCACCAGTTTCCATGAGACACTCAACATAAGGCAACACTCCACTTTTCTCTACAACTCCATTCGAGGTAAGAAGCTCCATTACGAGCTCACGCGCCCGCTCTGTATCTCCTTCCTTCTTCAAACCTTGAATCACTAGGCAGAAAGATTTGAAACTCGGGACAAACCCGGATTTGAGAACAAGTGTTATCAGCTCCACACACTTGGTGTGTTTCTTCTTGCTGCAATAAGATTCCATGATGATGTCGATGGCCTTCTCGAGAAAAACACCGCTCTTGAGTATAGTTTGGACTAGACCGTTGGACTCATCCGTTCTTCCCTCTTTGCATAACCGTGTGACCAAGAAAATACATAACCCGCTGGTAGACCCACCAAGTTGTTCTACCACAGATATGAGTTCTTTGATACATTCAGGATCGGTTTCTCTAATACCTTTTTGAGATAAGACAAATCCCCGTAACAAAGAAGAATAGATACGGTCATTTAGTTCATATCCTCTTTCAACCATTGCTCTTACTGTTTCAAGAGCACGGTCTAGTTTTCCATTATTGACATATCCTTTCACCATAACGGTATAAGTAACATGGTTTGGTGAAACTCCTGAATCTTGCATAGCAGAAAGAAGCTTCTCTGCTTCCTCGACTCTCCCAAATTGACAAAGACCATTGATGATGATTGTGTATGGATAGACATTCGGCAAACAACCACTTAACTTCATCAGTTCTAGCATCCTGAAGGAACCGCTAATATCACCTGATCGAATCAACCCATCAACCAATGTTGTGTAAGTCACTACAGAAGGAACTAAACCAAGCTTATTGATTTTCCCAAGCATTGCTAATTCCTCCTTCAGTTTACAACCTTTACTGAGCATATCAAGAATCACGTTCAGGGAGTGAGGAGTTGTCAACATTCTCATTTTAACCAACGTCTCCAGGATAAACAATGCGTCACGGGTTTTACCGACATTGCAGACACCATCAATAAGAGTTGTACCTGTTACTTCATCTAGGCTTATTCCTTTTCTAAGCATCAAACCTAAGAATGCGCTAGCAACGTCAGCCTTCCCTTGTTTGCAGAAAGCATTTATTATAGCGGTGAATGTAAGACAATCAGGCTCAAGGTCAAAGGAGTTCATCGAGGTAAGTAGCTTGTACGCCACATTCATATGGCCTTCTCTACAAAGCCCATCGATCAAAACATTATAGCTCACAATGTCAGGTGACAGGCCATTGTCCAGCATTCTCTTCAAAAGGTGCACGGCCTTGTACGGTTTCCCAACTCTACACAACCCTTCCATAAGCTCGTTAAAAGTTCTTACATTTGGTTTGCAAGCCCTCTTCTCCATTACAGTAAGAAGCTCAAAAGCGGGAACAACCCGTCCATCTTTGCAGTAGCCATTTATCAACGCATTGTAAGTTATTACACTGGGAAATATCCCGTCTTTAACCATCTTTCGACAAACCCCATTAGCCTCTTCAATCTTTCCGTCTCTACATAACCCATCAATCAAAACGGTGTAAGTGTGAACGTTTGGTTTGCACCCTCTAGCAATCATCTCATCAAACAAGTTAAAAGCTTTATCAATCAAACCTCTATCGCACAAGGCTTTAATAAGCACAGTATATGTACGTGTGCTTGGTTGGCAACCTTTCTCACCCATTTGATCTTTTAAGCCAAAGGCTTCTTCAAGTCTCCCTACTTCACACAACCCGTGAATCAAAATGGAGTAACTAACAGAGTTTGGTGCACAAGTTCCCTCCCTAGACATTAAATCAAACACCTTGAGTGCATCTCTAAGGTTCAATCCACGGCAAAAACCCAGCAACAGAGAAGTGACTATATGGGAATCTAACAGAAACCCAACTTTAAGAATCTTACACATGAACATCTCAGCGGCTTCCGTGTATCCATTCTTACACAGAGCATTGACAATGGTTCTATAATCAATCATACCAACAACAAATCCGTCAGCTTCCATTCTTCTGTAAGTCACGTAAGCTAAAAATCCTAAATCAAGTTTAGCCAAGGACATCAAAAGAGAGCTGTAACAAGGGTAATTTAACCGGAACCCAGAAACCTCTCTCAGCTCATCAAAACAACTTATTAGTTTCAACATCTCTTTCTCGCATCTACTACATTCCCTGATCAACGCAACAATAACATCATGCGCAACTCGAAACAATCCGGAAGAAACAATCAGTTTCAAAAGCTGATTTTTCTGAGTTGGGTCAAAACAGTACGACGAATGCTTGCAGACCCACATGAAAAAGCGAACGCAAATGTCATTGTCACTGCGTTGAAGCGAAATGACCTGTGAAGCGACATTTGGGCTCATGTGAGAGACTAGAGATTTAAGAGAACTGTTCTTCTCCCAATTGGGGCTTTTTAGTAAAGATGCAACATTGTGAGCCGCCACTTGGTCCGAGGAAAACTGAGAAGGTCGAGAAGAGACGGAGAAGAACGCATTATAAGGCGGAAAAACATGACGCCTCAAAGCTAAGATCTTTCGAGGAATTCTGATATGTATCAGCATACACAGATTGAAGGAGCCGGAGAGAAACAATAAAAGTGATTACTTTAACTAGTGGGTTTAGGGTTTTATCGCTCTGGCTATTGAATGAAGAACAATGGGGGTTTTTGCAGGTGTTGTCTGTCTGAATCTCGATTCTCACGGAGACGATATAGTGTTCCGGTTATGGCTAATTGAAATTGAACCGCACCGAACCAATGCTTCATCTCATACTTATGAATTTTTGGTTTTCAATATTTCCATGTTTTTTTTGAATTTTAGTAACTACTTTGATTTTCTCCTTCATATTAGAAGCTAAGTAAAATTGCACCCAAAACTTTAGTTAGTTAAAAATAAGATGTCCTGTCCACCTCCGGTGGTAATTCTCGTATTTGCAAATACAAAAGCCAACGAAAGAAAATTCTTGTGTTGAGGAAAAGTATATCAAGTAACAATAGACACCATTGAGACTGAGCTAAAGGAATTACCGAATTATACTCCCAAGACACGGCAAAAATAAACTTGGCCTGACAAATTTCAGACACAAAGATGTTTCTCCTTCTCTTTCACAATCCTTGAGCAACTGTTTTTGTGCAATGTACATATATTCTTCAATTGTGAATGACCGACTATCATCAGACTGACTCTTGTATAGTTCCCACCAAGTGACCAAAAACTAATCCTTTATCGCTACATCACCAAATCATCAGCAGAGTAATAGTCCGCAATAAGACGGTACATGTAGGATGGATTGTGTCCTCCCCTGTAACCAAAAAGGTAACGCTATCATCAACTCTTTATCCAAACAAAGTAATGCCATGAAAATGGACCAACCTAAAAATATAGAAAATAGAGGAAACCAAAGATATATATATATATATAGGAGACTTACGTGTCCGTTATAAAGAGACTAACAAGGTTTGGTGGGACATAATCGAATGTTGGGTTGACAACTTGAATAGACCCGGAACCCGCTCCAAAATCCAGGCAATCAGAGAATTCACCAAAATCCAGCAGTTCGGATGGAGATCTCAGCTCATTTAGTAATACTTCCGGATTGTGAGGGTAGAGTGGACACAACTGTGATTACATTAGAAACCAGAAGTCAAGTTTTGAGAGCAATCAGCAGTTCGAGAAATTAAACAACAACTCCAAACCAACCTTGTGACTACCGGCTAGAACCACAAATGGGACTGCGTGCTTTTGTGCTGCAAGAGCAGCCATATTGACACCAACAGGTCCTATAACCCCACCATTAGCCATCACTGCATGAGCTCCAATTATAACCTGTGCATTATCACATCATTTGTAATTTATTTAATGGCCAGGGAAAAGAAAACATAAAGTTGGACAAAGATTGTATCTGTACCATATTCACTCGTGATATCATCGCAAACACTGCAGAATCAGTGATCACAGTGGTCTGCAAACCTCTAGCTACCAATTCTTTTGCTAAGAGATGGCCCTGATACCTAATATAATACAGCTGAGTTAGATGGACATAACAGAGAGAACATGAAATTGTTGTGCAAAGCAGAAAAAACTAACAGTGGTAAGGATGAAACATATAGTAAAAGAAGAAACCAAACCTTGGAGCACCTTCGGCGACAAATACACGAAAAGATCTTTTTTTCTCCTTGGCAGCACACATAAACTCAAGAACTGTTCTTGAGCTACCCAGGGTTAGGATCACCTCACTGACAAAACAGAATTTAGGAATACAAAAGTTGTCATCATGTAAAGACACTGACAAACGACCATTTTCGTTCTCCATGTATTGCATGTTACAGATAATGAATGCTATAGAAAAGAAAAGTACTTTTGATGTATATGCTCTATAGCTTGTTCAGCGATCTGCTCATGACAACCAGCAATCTCATGAATAAGTTGATTCACTCCTTCGATAACATCATGCTTCAGCTTCCGAGTTAATGAACTTTTATCAGCAGCTAAATCAAGGGTAAAGTACACCATTAATATCAACCAGAAATTATAACTTATTTTTGCTGCCATATAAAATTTTGACCTATGCTTCATTTAAGATAAAATTCCAATAGAAGTGAGACGAACCACCAAAAAACAGACTGATAAGAACAGATATGATTCCCATTTATCTCTTTAACTCAGTAACACAACACAAATTCACCGAGAATTCCAGCAACAAAACGACAGGTAATAGGGTTTACAAATTACAAGGTCCCAAAGCAAAACAAAAACCACTTGACAGCTAAATCTGTCTAAGATGGCTAAAAAGAAAACCTTATGTATCTGCTTGTAAAAGAGACTGTGAGCCAACATTATTATATTCCTGCCATAACACTTATCTTCATGGCTTACCAATAACATAACTAAAACAGGCGGCATAAGTAAGGATCTAAAAACAGCATGTGGAAAGGAGAGCCAAAGGCAAGGAAAAGGTACATTTACTTTTGCTTTCGGAATCAGCACCGGATGAAGATGTGTATGGAACAGTTGCAGATTCAGGAGTACCCTCGAGAAGCGTTTGCAAAGATGGAGGGCGTAACGTACTCCTAGCTGCAGCTGCAACAACTGCTGCAGACATTGCAGGATACCCAATTCCTTTGCAATTATCTACATCATCATCATCACTTGCATCCAACAAGTCCAAACCACCCATAGCTGCTGTAGTGAGAGAAAGATCTTCCTCCCTTATAATATGCAAAACCCGTCTAACTACATTTCCCACCGCAAGCTCTACAAAAATCATATCCGAATATATCAATTCCTTTCAGACTAGAAGAGAAGAAGCAAAAAGAGAATTTTAGAAAACATACCAACAGGATTAGCAGCGACCAATTGCTCACCAACGGCTTTCACAGCATCGATAAGAGCAGCAGCTTGGTTTGCGTGAGGCACCCGCTGATGCGAAATCACTGACCTAAGTAGCTCTACGGTGCATTTGGCTGTAGCTTGTGAGCCCTCAATCTTACTGTATCATATAATGATCAAATCAGCAACCATTTTCACAAAGGGTTTTACGAAATTAAGCCGCAAACAAAGAATTTACCGTTTTCTGAGCTTGTTAACAAATTCCACCACCGTTGATTGGACGTCCGGCATCTTCCTTATCCGAAATTAACGAGAAACTTGAAAGAAAAAAGCGAAACCTGAGGCGTTAGATTTCATAAACCCTAATCACGCGCAATTCGCGGCGGGAGGAAGAAGGAAATGGGAGGAACCTAATGTTAGAGATGAGGAAGCAAAATGGATATGCTTACTGGTGAATATGTGACGGTGGGGGACGATAAGGAGACGAAGTAGCAAGAATATTCCGGCGAGAGAGAAACGGTATTGATAAAAGGAGACCAGATTTTTACATTCATTCGCTCTAGTGAGAGAATTGAAGGTTTTGGTAGGTCTAAGTTTTGGGCCGAAATAAGGTGTTATTTGGGCCGGAAGAGAAGAACAAAGCCCAAAACGAAAGCACCTTTAGGTGTCTCCTTCCCTTTGAAAAGCTTCTTTGGGACCCAAATTTTAGTCTTGTTTTCGAGTGTTCGACAGAAGGAGAAAGATCAAATTGAACAAGGAAACTTAACAAAAAAACATATAAAATTGAACCCCACTTTCTCTATTCCTTATAACCACCACATTATTATTCAGAAATCAAAATATATCTAAGCAAGATCTATACACTGAACAATTGCCTGAGAGATTGGGCAGAACATTTCTCTATATATACACTACCAGAAGATCATGAAGCTTTTCTTCTAAGTTCTAACCAAACTGGTTCATCATATGCTTCTCTTTCCTTCTTGTTCTTCTGCATTCCCATTATTCTCCTTGAGCTTATATGCACCATCTACATACAATTCCGTGTCCCACAGGAACGTCCCAAACGCCACAGCCTCGAGAACCAACCGCTTCAAACTCGAAAACGATGTCACGATGGTCTCATCACTCTCTTCCGTGCCAAAAAGGGCCAAACTTTGCTTCTCTATCAGATTCCTTGCCTCCTCTGTCCTTGGTTTTGCGCATCTCTGCAGTGTCTCGGGATCGAAGCCTGAGATGTAATGTCTCAGCTGCTGCTTGCTGGAGATCTGTGCAGTGCTCGTTGTGAAAGAGCATCCAAGGATGGGACTTTTCAGATATCCGCTTCCATGGAGATCTGATAAGGAACACTCAAGCTGATGCCTTAGGGAAGCCGATTTCAAGAAGTAACCGTACAAGATCGAGGCAGCGTATACTTTCCTGAGATGCAATTTCTGTATCTGGGTTGTTGCCCAATTGTCCGTCACACATGAATTAACCCGTAACCCGATGACTGCGCTTACGTGTTCTTTGATGATCTCAAGGGTATCGCAGCTGTGAATCGACTCTAACTCCCAGTCTTTTGAAGGCCAGATCTCGAGTCGTCCATTGTAGATGCATCTGGATAGCTTTGGAACAAGAGGGACTCTTATCTCGGAGTATTTGTAAAAGATTAACATGTACATTATGTCTTGGACTGCAGTTTTGCAGTAACGTTCCTTGAGTTGAGCTATCCTTCTGCCAACCATGGAATCAGGGTGTTAGTGTTCGTAAAAGAGCAGAAAACAGGTGGGAAAATGTTCACAAACAGAGTATAAAATGACCTGAGCTGCAATTTAAACTTAACAACGAGCTGCATAAACAGGACAATAAGTGGACTCAGAGAGTTAACACAGGCAAGAAACTAACACAGATGAATAAATCATACTGAAACTAGTTAACGAACTAAAACAACACTGAATGTAAAGGCAAAAGCTTGATTAGGTGAAACCAGCCCTTATCGAGCACTAAAACAAAACTTGCTTCACAAGGCAGAGCATGAGGAAGCACCAGAAGATCATAACTACAGACTTTTCTTGTTTCAAATCAGCCATATCATTAGTATGATTCTTCGATCACCATAAACACCATCAAACTACTATAACACACGAATCAGACAACTCATATAATCTGACTTTGCAAGCTTATGTGGTTCTGATTTGTGAGAGATTGGATAAGCGTATGTAAGTAATGATTTACACAGAAATCTTTGTATGTATCCAATTCAAATAATGTTTACGGATTTTTGAATTGTGAGAGATTAGATAAGCAAAGGTTTAAGGGACCTGTGGAGAGAAGCCTCATCGGAACCAGAGCTGAGAGACATACGAGCTAAAGCAGCTTCCCTATCATCAGCCAGTTGCTTAAGCTCATCAGCGGCGGCGTAATGAAATAGCTGTCGTTTGTTTAGCAACACGCTTCTCAGAAACCTCCCCTGCGCCGATCGTGGCTCAAGCGGCGCATTAAGACTGCTTCCAGGCTCACACCGGCTTGGTCCCGCCGCCGCAACCACAACCATCGAACTATACTGGATCTTCCTCTTCGCCGGAATAACAAAACCACCGCCTCCCCCATCGCCGCTCTGTCTCCTGGAACGCGACGGGAGAAACTGAAGTGCCGTTTGATTAGAGAGACAACTACTATCCATTGATCAGATTGAGCGATGAAAAAAACCTAGAAACAGTGGAAAAACCCTAAGGATCTGTGATTTGAGAGAGTTTCGGGAATTTGTGAGTGAGAGAAAGAGGAAGAAGAATGATTTAGCGGATTAGTGGGAGAAGTGGTGAAGATTGGATAAGGTTGAAGAGTATCTTTTTATTAAATTATTCCATTTCCATTTTTACATAAAAATATTTGCTTCTGTTTTTTCCAATGGGCTCCTCAATTCGGTGTGTGGTTATTTGTTTAATTCCAACTTGACAAGTGCAATTATGTCATTGGCTATTATGTAAATCTTATTTTCTTTAGCTTTGATATGAGCCACTTATTGGAAATTTCTAGTATCCTACTATCCTAGATTCAAACGGACTCGGCATAAGTCTAATTTACCAGGATTAATAAAACATAAAATTTGGAAGTTTAGTAAACCTCAATTAATTGTCTAAGAGAAATTGAATAGTGTTCGTGAATAATTGTTTCAAAGTCGTATAGTTTACGTAAATTAGTTTAGTCGTATGATTTTCATATTCATTATAGTTAGGTGGTTGATGTTTACAGATATTTGTGTATATGCACACATAAGTAATAGTATAGTTTATGCCTTTAGGTTATGTGTCTAGATTGATACCTTATCTCAATTATTGGCAATTTTCTAAACAAATGTAAAGATGACCCATCGTGTTCTGTGCCTCTGAATATTATAGGATTGGACCGATTGGTGGTCCTCTAAAGCCAACCAACTTAATTTACATGTAAAAAACACCCCTAGTTTTCTTCAATCATCCATCGGCTAACAATTTGATTATATGTTTTTTTTCCCCCTTGACAAAAGAGTTCCAAATTTGAACCTTTAAATCTTTCTGAACAAGGGTTCATTGTATGTTGATTAGGATATTTATTAGGTTTAGTGTAACACTAGTCTATCAAACTACAATGATACTTGAAATGTATGTTTTCACTTGTATCTAAATTAAAATTTCAAATTTTGTATTTTATAGATTTTTAGACAGAAGTTGATACTATTTACAAATTTCATCGGCAGTATTTTGGATCGAGGTGTGGTAAAAAAAGTGGTTAGAATGAAAGAGCAGATTCAAGATTTAACTATTTTGGTTTTAATCAACTTCTGGCCGTAACAAGTTCATATAATGTTTGCTTTGTTGTTTTACTGCTGCTTCAAAAAAAATGTTTTCCTGGTTTGGAAACATATACAGACACATATACAAAGAACAACAGCGTCGCGAGATAGCCATGACTCGTGCGATGTTTTGACTTTGAGTGAATGGCAGACTCATGAATCGTGATATTGAATATTAATTGATAGGATAAGTGGAAGCACCTATCATAGCGGCGTGTACATTGTTTGCTATCACTTGGGTGGTCCACAACCTAATTTAGAGTTTTCAACCCATCATCTTAAAAGTTGGATTTCAAATGTGAATAGATGAGACGACGGCAAATATTTAAATCTCTAAGTGTATGTTCGATTTTTAGCATGTAAGTGTCAAATATAGTCGTTAAACTAAACTCTTCTTTTAAAATTTACTCTTTTTGTTACAAAATATAGGATGTTTTAGTTAAAAACACATATTATAAGAATTTTGTTTTTTCTTTAAAAACTTTCATTTAATATTTAATTTAAGAAAATGCAACTAATGATATAAAAGACTGCAAAATATAAATGATAACAAAATATAAAATCATATAAATGAAAGGAGTTTCCTTTAAGCCCAAATAGGGATGTCAATTATTCACCAAAAAAAAAATAGGGATGTTAATTGGGTTGACAACATACGATCCTTTATACAGAAGAGCAAAGTAGAGACACATGTTCATGATTTTTACTTTTTAGCCGAAAGGTCAAAAGATTTTTTTTGCAAAGTGAGAATCATGCTCATGGGTCCTATTCTCTCGATGCAGTAGAGAATCATGGCATCCGATTCTCAATAGCTACATGTGTTTTTCAAAAGTAATATCTTTATATTACTGTCACTACCACTAAAAATCCTATATCTGAAAATATGTATACTCCACCCGGTATTAAAGTAGATGATTTCGTTAATTTTTTGTCCTCTAACAAGGGAAAAAACAGTCTGAAACTTGCTATCCATTTTTCCCATCAGAACATTAGTTAGTAATTTTATTGTTTTGTTCAGCTAAACAGATAAGAGACTGATTGCATTACCGGAAAACGAATTTATTACACTCACTCATGAGTTTTCTTTATTCGCGGGAAGAGAAAAATAAAATAAATAAACTGCAAATGAATCATAATCACGTGCCGTTTCTAATAATCAAGATACGTAACATCGTACAGAGTCACGTGCTGTTTCCATTAATGAAAGCCGTAACATCGTGCGGTTTTCCCTCGTGTGTCTCTTCTCGACCTTGCACTGTCGTAAATCGTAAGTCTTCACAATGTCACGCTCGGAAACTCACAGCGTCCGTAGCCTGGTTTCAAAGAACAAGAGTACAAAAACTTAGCATCCGGTTTTAACATCCTGATATCACTGAACCGGAACTAATTTATGAGTCGGTTTAATTATGATATGGAATTCGACTTACTTGGATCTTTAATGGTTTGGGTGGCTAGGCCGTTGAAAGAGCAAGTCCCACCGGTCTTACGAAATTGGGCCCAATAGGAGCTAAAGGCGTAGCTGGCGTGCAAAACGGTCAAATCGGGTTTGTGACATGGGCCTCCGCGTTGAATCGGGTCACAGGTATTATTCCCCTGTGAGCAAGCGTACGATAGAGCATCACCTAGCTGAGTCCAATTCGCTCCTTTAGCCACCACGCACCAAATCTTCCCTTTGTAAAACTCGTTATTCTCCGGCGCCGGCAACGATTCCTTGTACTCCGTCGTCTTCCCCGACAAATCAATCCCGTAGACCTGAGTCCCGTTGGGATGTAAAAGTCCGAAATGCCGCTCCGTACCCGGACCCGTTTTCTGATTCTCGTTGTAAAGCGCGAATACAAACGCCGGTAGAACCTTTCCGGGTCGGGCGGGCGTACCTACGGGCGGGTCAGCGGCGAGTTTCTTGACAACATTGCGATTGTAAGTGGCGGCGTTGTAAATATTCGCTCCAATTTGGTCGTAGTCACCGTTATTGGGCCAACCCGTTTCCGCGACCCAGATCCGAAGATCCGGATACCCGAGTCGTTTCATAGCGAAGACGAAAGCGTCAATCATCTGATCGAACAGGTTGTGGTAGGTCAGATTCGTGACTGGATCCGTGACGGTGACGTTGGAAGATTCGAAAATGGCGTAATCGAGATCCACATGGGTCGGATCTTGAGCCCACGCGAAATACGGGTAAACATCAACGAATAAGAAAGATTTGGTCCGGTTTAAGAATTGGAGCATCGGTTTCATAACTAAACCGGAGATATCCGACCGAAACTCGCCGCTAGACGGAGGAAACGAAGATTGGAGAACGTCGACGGCGAGTGTAGTCCCTACTTTGACTTTCTTAACGCCGAGAGACTTTAAGGACCGTTGGATCTTGCGCATTGCGGGAACGAGTGAAGATTTGAGCTCAGAGTCTGGAAAAGAGAGGATCTCGTTGCCGACGAGGAGGTAACGGATCTTGGTGGTTGGGTAAAACGGGAGGATGTTGGATCGGATCCAGTCGTCGGAGAGTGATTCGGATTTGGAGATGTTGACGATTAGCTCGTTTGGGACCATGACGGAGACGGTAATGTCGGTGCCGTTTAAGGCGGTGAGGATTTTTGGGTTAGCGTCGTAGAGTTTGACTCGTTTTGCGTTTAGGGATTTTATGAGGTTGACTGAGTCGGCCGGAGATGGGAGGTTGTTTCCGAGCTGGCCGTAGTTGACTCCTGGCCGGCCGGAGAACTTTGCTCCTGTGGAAAAACACAGAGGATTAACATTTTGAATGAAATACTAAGCCGCCATTAATGTAGGTGAGTCGAGCTTACCTGAAACAGAGATTAGCAGAGACAGAGCAAGAAGATGTAGAAGTCTCATGATGATAAGCTCTTCTTCTTCTTTCTTCGTCTCTGTTTGAGTTGTTTTGAGAAGGAGAAGAAGAGAGAGAGGTTGAGTAATTTGATAAGAAGAGCGAAGAGTGGAGATATTTAATGGCTAGTGTTACGTGTTCCCCATAAAAAGCCTATGGTTTCGAGTATTAAATCAACTAAAGATACAATGTATTCTTGTATTTACGTGATCTCTGAGCACATTTGTTCAATTTTGGCGTAAACAATGACTATGACTTCGTCTTCTTTTTTGTTAGTCTTAATGATTTTCGTAATTGTATATAATCAGATTTTCATTGTTAATTGAATAGACCCTGTTTCTTGCCAATTCTTGTATTTACTAATGTATTCAATTTTTGAAGTGTACGGTAACTAGGACGTCTTCTCTTTTCTTGTTAGTCTTAAGTGTACCGTAAGCATATCAATTGAAAAAAAAAAAACTCCTTTTCTTGCCAATTCTTGAAGGCCTGTCTTTACAATAAATTGTGTTTTACTTAAAACCATTATTTCTGTTTTGGTGATATATAAAATTTTAAATCTGACTGATAAAAACTATTGCTAAAATATTTCTCGGAGCAACCACAATAGTTAGAAATAAGTTTTGAGTTTTTTATATTTTAAATATTAATATTTTAATATAAAAATGAATAGACCACTAAAAAGAATACAAATGTACAAAAGGTTTCTAAAAGGGTTTTGTGCAAAAATACCCTCCAACTCGCCCATTTTTGCAACTTTACCCTTCATCTTCGAAAAATGCAGATTAATACTACGAAGTCCCAAATAATGTGCAATATAACCCTTATTCATTACCGTCAAGTTCGTAAAATTTTGACAAATAATATATCAAATCGAAGCCCTCGCGATGAAGAGTTCAACTCTACTTTTAGAATTTTAAAAAACCAATATATATGACCGAAAAAACGTTTACAATATACGAATAAGGGTTATATTGCATATTATTTGAGATTTTGTAGTATTAATCTGCATTTTTCGGAGATGGAGGGTAAAGTTGCAAAAATGGGCGAGTTGGAGGATTTTTTTGCACAAAACCCTTTCTAAAATGTTTAGAAACATTTCTTATATAAGGTATGTCTCTTGTGGTCTCTCCTCTTTCTCAAAATTTTTTAAATATTTTAATGTTAAGGTATCTTGTAAGAAACCTCTATTGAGGTTGCTCTCACATTTTGTCTACAGAAGTTAGTAATCAACATGTCGTTGAAATAATTATATGGGCGCTATGCTTCGTGGGAAATGAGGTAGGTGGGTTAATGAAGAAGAAGAATGGTTCTCAATGGATTTTTTAGTTCAACTCTCATTGTTTATGAACGGGAAAAATTATTAACAGATTCTCTCTCACGAAACTCCCATTGTTCATTGTAGTATTAACGTTGATTCCTAGAAAGTATTAAAAAAATGTGATTTGTCGGGTCTCTAAACGAGTTTGCAAGAAGAGATTTATGTGACGAAAAGGTTATGTAAGTGAATTAGTACAAGACTGTTGATTGGTGTCTTATTTCTAAACAAATCTCAACGGTCGTCTTGTAATAAAGAACTAAAAGTTTAATGAGCGTTGAGAAAAACGAAAAAGTAACGTTCTCATGCTTTAATGATGTGACGTGACATTATGCTCTATTGCTCTAGATCTCATTTTTCTTATAATAATGATATAAAAAAAAATCATGAATATAGGCAGTACATTTCTGGTCCGGTAAATCGACCAACCCATATCCGACCGGAATAATCCAGAAATTTATAGGTCTGATAATTTCGATTAATGCGGGTATGGATACGTGTACCGTGTACGAGTCGACTCTATAGTATCTGAGAGAAATTTACCATCGAATTATTCGAAAACAAGAAACGACATTATTAGTCCCTCTCGGACAAGCTCTTTCTTTCTTCTTTCTTCTTCCTTTTGTCCTTTTATCCTTTTTTTTTTCCTTTTATCTTTTTTCTTTTTCTCTGAGATTTCCACTTGCTTAGATATTTTACCTGCTCCTGAGTACATTTAATAGGTCTGTGTTTTATATCTGTCAGGAAGGAAATATATAATTATAGCATATGGTCATCAAAAAAAAACTTTTGATAAGTTGTTTTCAACAGTGTTTTGTTTTTTTTTATAAGAACATCTCCATCAGTGAGAAACTCTAAAAATTTCTATAAAAAAAATTATTATTTTAAAGTTATATTTTTTAAAAAAAAATTTTATTAATTGAACCAATAGGATTATGACATATGACAATGAATCATAAAAGAGTGTCTCACAGTTTCCGAAATAAGAAACGTATCTGTTTTATTTCCATTTTGTATCTTCCTTTTATTATTTTTTATTAATTAGTGTATACTCAAAACATTTGAAGATGGTCTAAGCGATTGTCTTTTAAGTATGCATTTACTTATCTGGTTTAAGCCCTCGAGACAGGAATGCATGGAAGATATTGATAATTAATGTCATGTGCTACGTTACCCTCTTTGGACTTGCAAAGGTCGAGCATATGTGTGTATGTTATACATTTTGCAGTCAGACATTAACATATCTATGACGTTATTCAAACACAAAACTGTGCTTGATCTTCTAATTGGGAGAGCTGAGAGAACTTGGGCCTTAAATCATACAAGGGATTGTCAAACAGATTAAGGGCCTTAAAACATGAAGAGGCCCAAAATTAGTTAACTAAAACATGGAGATAGCAGATTTGCAAACATCCGACTAACATTCAGCTCTTCTTTTTGTTTTTCCTGGAAAAGAAATAGCACATTCAATTCAAAAGTATCTTTTATGTATATAATAATAAATGAACCCATAAGAGAGAAACAACAACAACAAATTGCTCAAAAGAATTTGAGAGTGGCATTAGAGCAAATCTTAAAAGATGTTTCTGCCACATCATCCGAAACAAAAACGAACAACCTAACAACAATTTTTGCACAACAAAAAAACCAAGTTTTGGCTTAATACCACAACAAAGACAGGTAGGCAAGTCTTTGGAATCCTCTTCGACGGCTCTTTCTGCCATTCTCTAATACTATCCGTAAAAAAAGGAAGAATCTAAACCAACCCAAGTAGAGTATAAAATCATGTTCCCAAGACAGAAATTTTAAATGAATTGTTTTTATGTATCTATCTGTAACGATAAGACCTGCGAGTGAGTTGGTTCGTTCCTTCCTGACTTGGTCTTTGGGTCTTGTTCGTTCTTCAGGTGGTATGGTTCAATGTAGTTTTAAACTGAGAAAAAAGGTTAAATAAACTAACTGACCTGTTCCCCGATCAAATCTAGACCGACAACAACGAAAGTGATTCCTTGGAACAAGAGGAAGTAGAAATGGATCCCTTGCGCAGACAACAAGCTTCTCACCGAAGCTGCCAAGAGGATAAATGCAAGTGCGATTTCTGTTCTGTACAGACGGTTTCTTTTGGTTGTGCCAGTTTTCTTTGCTGCTCCTAGTTTGCTAAGCTCGGTCAGACCTGAATCAGAGGATGATCTTTGGATGGTTGTGGACTCGGCCAGAGAACCTGACTCTGCGTATGCAACCAGATCAGCCTCAGAGGATCTCCCAAGCTTTTTGGTGACTACCCACTCGTAAGAACTTCCAAACTTGAACAAACCAGAGATCATGGCTCCAAATTTGGTAACTGACATGGTGTTTTCGAAAAGGAGATATGGAACTATGAAAGGGAAGGATCTTGGGGCTGGGATGATGTTTAAGATGGACATGATCCCAGGGATGTAGCAAACAACCCAAGATGGTAAGTTAGCTTCTGGGAAGAACATTGTTAATGGAAGAATGACGCAGAAGAGCGTGAATGAGTAGAATGGCAAGATAAGCTTCCGTAGCAAGAAGAAGAGAAATATCATATTTGCTTTCTTGGCAACACTCACCTGTAGTAAAGAAAAAAATGCCAAGTTAAGATCAGACCGAGCTATCAATAAGAAAACCTCATGAACATAAAATATTCTCAAGTCAGAGCAAAAGGAAAACAATGTCAATATAATTCTCAGTCTCACCTTTGACCGAAGAATGTCAAAGAAGCACAAACGGAACAATTGCATTGGACCCGAATGCCAACGGTATTGCTGTTTTTTGTATGCCTCATAGGACTCCGGAAGTTCACAGAGACACTGAGTAAGGGAAATACAGATGAATGAGATCAAAAAGTTCTGTTTTTTTAACATCTTGTTAAATAAAGGAAACTTCTGAGGAATTTAGTTAACATAAGTACCTTTACATCATTCAGATAAATGAACTTCCATCCGCAAAGATGCGCACGAACGGCAATATCCATGTCTTCAACAGTTGTTCGCTCCAACCATCCCCCACAGTCCTCGAGGGCTTTGATTCTCCAAACACCAGCAGTTCCATTAAAACCAAAGAAGTTAATAAAGACACCATTAACCTGCTGTTCAACTTCAAAGTGGAAAGACAAATTTATGTTCTGGAGTCTTGTAAGCAAGTTTTCGTCTTTGTTCACAAAAGCCCACCGTGTTTGGACCAAGGCTAGTTCATCATTACCCTGAAAGAAACACAGAAACTGTCATGTGAGATAGGCTAGTGCATGGCAAGCATACTGTATCACAGTTCCCGGTATAGACCTTCAGCTAAAAAGAAAGAAATCCGTAGCTCCAAGGACGAAATCAAAAGTTATGTCAAGCCAACGAAGAAGCCTTAAAAGTCCAAGCACAGTAGATTACTTGGGTTCATACTTCATAGTTCATCCCATGTGAAAGGCCAATATAACGAATTTATGATGTGAGCAAAAATTATACGTGCAACCAAAGATGGAAAATTTGACTGGTGTCAATGGTTGTCCCAAGGCTGTGGCAATTTGATAACCTGGGTTTTGATGGAAGGTTTCACCAAGCTGGTGTTGACTAAAGAATACAATTTTACAGAGGCAAATTCTCTTCATTTCCGTGTTAGATGTTCATCCTAGAACCACTGCAATGAAGAAAGACATACCCTAATAGTGGTGGAAGACACGCTACGCCATTTGTCATTTTTGCAACTGCCAATTTCTAACCAAATACCATTAAGCTCAGGGTATAACCACTCTCTATAGTTTTGAAATGGTTTATCAATATCCTTAAATCAATAAAGCAAACCGGTCATATAAGATCTCCTATGAACATGAGACCAGAAAGACATGATTGGTTACCTTAAAGTGAGGCACAGTTTTCTTCAAGAAATCCGCTGGTGGCTGGAAATCCGCATCAAATATGGCAACAAATTCGTAGTCTTTGACGTATTCACAGTTCATTGCAGCTTTAAGGTTTCCAGCCTTGTAACCAGTACGTATGAGACGGTGTCTATACACTATCCTTACACCCCTTTGTTGCCATTTCTGTACTTCAGCTTTTATAAGCTGCTGAACATCTAACTCACTGGAGTCATCAAGAACCTGAACTAGCATTCTTTCCCTTGGCCAGTCGAGCATACACACAGCTCCAATAGATTGTTGGTAAACCTGCAAGTGCCACCAACCAAAATCAACGAGATGAGATAACAGAACCGGAACTGCAACAACTTAAATACGAAGAAGCAGGCATAAGAAAGACTTAGATTACGAGTGAACATAGCAACAAATCCTACCTACAGATGCTTGATTCCCAATTCAACTTCAAACAGCAAGATACGACTAAGGATTAGGGACCTACCTACATACATGTTCTTACCTCCTTTTCATTGCACATTGGAATCTGAACAATCACCATTGGATAATCTTCCAATCTAACTCCTTCTCCAACCAATTTAGTCGGGTACGCCATAGATGCAACAGGCTTAATGCGGCGGAGCTTGATCCAGAAGCATCCAAGCACAAGCACCAGACGGTCAACCGATTGAATCAAGAAGAGAACTATACATACATTGGTCAAGCTCTGAAGCGGCGGCGCGAGATAAGACGCCCTGATCTCCAACCACCAGGCGTAAACCACCTCCACGGCGACCTCGGCGGAGGCGACAGAGGGAGGTGTGAAGTGCCATCCCTTGAAATAAGCGGCGAGCTCGAAACAGAGAAGAAGCACAACAACAACGAGAAATCCCTTGATTAGACGGTACAATCTAGCGGAGGAGGAGACAGATGGAGGATTATCGTTGGCAATGCGGCGATTGGCGGTGCGAATAAGGTAAAGGAAAGAGTTACCGATCCAGACGAAGGAAGATGCGAGTTGCTTGAACTTGAGGAGGTAGAGACGAGAGAGCTGACGAGCGGTACGAGTCCGGATCCGATCTTTATCCGGGTCAACGGTGGCCGGAGTACGGATTTCAACGGTGAGGAATGCTTCATCGTCGCCGGTGTAAAGAACGTCGTGATTGTTCCTATCTCGTTGCTTGTTCCACCATTGTTGAAACTCCTCGTTCTGGGAGCGAGACATTCAACGAGAAAGGAAAAGAGAATCTCTCTCGAAGCTGATGAAATCAGGAGAATCGATCTGATTAGATCTGAGAATTTGGGAGACAAAGGCAGAGAGGACACGATTGGGCTAAAACTTACTAACAATAGAGAGAGATGACGTCGTCTTTCGTCCCACTGTCTTGCTCCCATTTTTTTTTTTTTTTTTTTTTTAAACATATATGTAGAAATTAATACTAGTACTAATAACTAATAAGTGATATAATTAATTAATTAATTAATGGTGGTGGAGGCGAATTATGTGTTAGATACTTAAGAGGGTTTCCATTACCAAACAGATAAAGAGTTTTAAGTTTCTTTCTCACCCGCTGATTGCGGTATCCACCTCTCAAATGATCCTTAAGCATATGATAAACTTAGGCATCGCGATCTGCACAATCCTCCATGAATTTATTATGGAATTAAAATATATGGCATAAGTACGCTTCGTGTCCATTTTCTTGAAACTATTCCTTAATAACCATGCCGTAACAAATAAAGTAATTTGGAAAAAAATAATAATAATAATAAAAGAATTTGTTAGCGTGTGTTTTAGTTGGGCCGCCAAATACAGCATCACGCAAAAGAGCCCATTAAACTTCCTTATATTAAAAAGTTTTAGTCCTAGCCCATAATACATTTAAGGTTCGTAAATTTAGCTTTCACAGGTTTAAATTGTGGCCCATTCTAATGAATATTTCAATATTTTTTCAAGCAGGATTAAACGACCAACGTTACGATTGGTATGGAACGGCTATTTTTCTTTTTAAAGTAAGTAGATAATGATAAATGTGATCCGCTCAACTCCGTCGGGACCGATGTATTTCCAGTTTGTCGAGTATCCATCATGCGTTATGTTGTTTATGATTATGTAAAATATTATCATCAACTTGGAAGAAATGCTTTTTGATTAGACATATTTTTTTGCTTGATTTGATGAATGCTTATTGCGGCTTCTCTTTGCTATAGTAGGTAAATAGAAAGAGACGCTTCTGTGTTCTACATACTTTCCATAAATCACGGCGTGATCGCTATACAAAAATCTTAATTTATCAAATTTGTTTTTTTGCTCATAACCACTCATATTAGACTTTCTAATGTATCTTTTTCTTGAATAACTCCCACAAAGACAATAGAGAAAATGACAGAACACCTTACACAGCTGGTTAACACTAGCAACGATCAAATCAAATATCAAATATGATCTAACATTGAAACTGACGTTAACGAGTTATTAAGACTTAAGAGTAAAAAACTAAAAATAGAAAAAGTCAAGCTTAGCTAAGATTTGATGTTTGTGAATATGCTATAGTACCTGTTATTTTTTGGAAATAATATATTTGAGCAAATTACGCACATGTAATTTAGCACAAAGATAGATGTCACGCTATGTGCCGAAAAAAGCTCAATACCAACTTTTTGGTTTTAACATTTCATACGATTTAACAAATAAATAAATAAACTACTAAATCTCATCTAACAAACCGAAGCTATATAGTTTTGATAATTGAAACGAGAAAATTTACTTAGCATCTATCAATTTTTGCAAGATAATTGTAACAAGAAAATTTACTTAGCATCTATCAATTTTTGCAACACACTTTTTCTTTAACCTAGATATATACTTATGGGAATGATCTGCCCTTGTTTACTTTTTAATTTTTCGCTTTCAAGAGTTTGATGTTGTTTTTGTTAACAGAATTGAATGGATTTGATAAAAACAGTCTTGTTGTTCGGAAGAATTATAGCTATAGTATTTGTAGTGAGGTTAAAGCTTACAATGATATTAAATCCAAACAATAAAAGCTTAAAGAATCTGATAATAATAGAGGATAACAACATGACAATACAATTGAGCACCATAAATGAATCAGAAGGATAAAAAGAAGAAGTTATGTATATCAAGATGATTATAGAAATGAATTCGCAAATGGTGTGGTCCAATTCAAGCTTCTTGTTATGTACACCCATCAATCCTTTTCTTACTATCTATCCTCGAGACCTTTAAAACTCCACTATTTTTTGTAAAAATGCAAATAATGGTTGATCAAAGTTCAGCTTTCATGTGCGACGGTACTTGCTTTGATGAACCTGCATATATAGTACAAATTATACATCTCAAAATCTAAATTATCTTGTCTATATAATGAAATTGAAAACAATATATGATTTAAATCTCCTTACCATGGTTTAATTCGTGGAGCCGGTTTTGCGCAAAACCCATTTGAATAATGCTAGTTAAATCATCTTCGGAAAATGTTGAATACTGAAAACAAAACCGAAAAGGGAGGGCTAAGATCGTTTGAAATTGAAATATAAAAATTAAGAAAAGTGATAGAAGAAAAAAAAGAAAAAAAAAAAACCTGAGAAATAGAGTCAGTGAAATGGGCAAGTGTTGGTAAGTGAGAAATGAAGCTTCTAGTTTCAGAAGTTTCTGAAGGGTTTATTATGTTATTACAAGAAATATCAGGGTTCAGCCGCAAATTATTATTGTGATGATCACCCAATAACGTTTCTGCTGAAGAATCTAATTGAAGTACATGTTGATGATGCATTAGATTGTTGCTTGAAGGAAATATCTGTCAGAAAACAAAAGAAATTGGTTTAAACAAACACACGATTGGTTCACAAATACACAAAGTAATTATTATTACAATAATGTCAATTATAATTACTATTAATGTTGTTTAAAGTTGTGACGGTGACTTACATCCTTAGACAAGAGAGCGTCCATGTTAAAGTCCAGCCTGGTGTTCACCGACGATAACTTCATCGACAAGAACTGCACCATAATTGAAATTTAAATTAAGAAAGAAAAAAAAAATAGAAATCGTTTAGTTGTTTTAAAAAGTGATTATGAAATAATGGAAAGAGTTTAAAGTGGACCAATAATCTAATGAGAAATTACCTCAACTTGTCGTTGCAATGATTGGACATAGTTTATAATTTCATCTAACATCAGTGCTTTTCCAGTAACCTTTAATAAGAAAAATTTATTATTCTAATCACAATTACATTACAACTAAAATTAATTGATTAGTTATTTAATCAAACTCCCACCTTGTTGCAACCAGGGACAAGATCTTGAAGCAGCTTCATTCTTTCGCTTATTTTCTCTCTTCGAACCTTACAAAAATCATGATTAATTCAATTAATTAAGAGATAAATTAATCTTAAGATTAAAATCAAGAAATTCGGTGGTTTTGGTAATGGTAAAAGAAAATAGGAAATTGACTGACTCGTTCGGCGAGACTATGACTATCGGTGGCTTGGCCTCGTCGAGCTCGAACATGAATGTAATCTTTGTAAGGATCAATTGATTTTGTTTTGTCTCCATTATCTTCTGATTTTTTGCATCTCTTTGGATCAGAATCTTCCTTCTCTTCAATCTCCTGATAATAAACCTAAAATTAGTTTTTTATAAAAAAAATTGGGGTTATTCGAATGAAAAGCTTTAATATGAACCTTTGATGGTGAAACTGTAGAAGGAGAATTCTGTTTGGATTTTGCTTTTCTTTTCCGGGAATATTCACCGGACGATTCGCCGGCGGGAACATGAGACACGAGAGGCTTAAGAACTGGGCTGCTTGATATACGTGGCATTTTCTCATTGGTTGCGACGGGTTGTTCGTTATTAATCGGAAACGGCGAGTTTGTTCTGCCGTTGAAACTCCGGCTACCGAAACACGAGAACCTCGCCGCTCTCTCTGCGAATCCCGGATCGCCGGAAAATTCTGTTATCGGCATCGTCGTTTTCGTCACCATCATACGTCCAGGCGTTGGAGAGCTCATCGGAGTTGCGTAACACGAGCCAGAGACGTTTCCGTTGCTCGCCGGAGTTCCATAGATGTCGCCGATGTTACTCAATCTCCCGATGAGTTCTCTGATAACGACATTTTCTCCACCGGAAAAGTTAGAATTTGACGGCGTCGGAGAAGAGACGAGTGAGCTAAGAGCCGAATGGAAGATGCTCTGTTCCGTTGACTTTTCCCAAAACAGATTGCAACCGAGACTTGGGTCCACTGGCTGAGTCTCCATTGAAACCCAGTTAAGCATCGCCGGCGAAGAAGACGGTGACGTCATAACCGGCGTATGCGAAGAAGCTCCTGCATTCATAAACAGCTCGTTCTCCATGATGCTCTGTTTTAGGGTGCGGAAGATGAAAATCAAAAGTACAGATTTGAATTCAGGTGAAAACTCTTAAATTAATGGTGACTAATCAAACCCAGATCAGAGATTCATCCAATAGAACAAGATAAAGTTTGTAATTTTTCTTAAAGTGAAGAACAGAGGAAAAGGGAAGCTCGTTAATGGCAGTAACGAGGAGTTTATATAGTTGTTTAATAGATTGCACCAATCAATGACTTTCTTCCTAATAAATGGATATAAAATAAGTGAATATTAAACAATATTTGTGTCGGACCGGACCGTAACGAGTGGAGGGATTAAGAATTTAGGAGGGCCTTCGACGTTAATCGATATCGCTAAATTACACGGCTTTACAAGTATAAATAATATGAAGCAAGCTTGATGTTCTTTAAAATGTCAAAAACAAATCTGATGATATCAAAAACCGGTCAAATAATAATCTAAAGTATTTCTAACAAACTAATTTTGACGAATGGGGTTCCCCTTGTCGAAGTTCCTTAACTATCGCCGGTTCTTTCGTTGATTTGTATGTCAAGTAAGGTGTTGAACTCTTTCTTTGATCGAATCAAGCAGAAGACACTGAAATCTTTTCTTTCTTTTTTTGTTAAAGGATAGACACTGAAATCTTGATTCTATCATATGCTCAAGAAGGCAGTTTCAATGAGGCAATTGGGTTTGTTTAAAGGAGCTAAATTTTTTAGTTATATAGTTTTTGCTCTTTATTGCATCACGAGCATCTCTTAGATTTTTACCATTTTGGCAATTTAATTCTCATATGGATATTTAGATAAAAAGGTGTGATGAGAAGGATTTTCCGTTCTATGTAGATATACATATATAAACTAGTGCCTTGACTCGGTGAGATTTCTAAGTGACCATAATATTAAGACCTTATTAAGTTGCTAGTCTGAAAATAAGAAAGTCTACACAATACATATGATGATATAGTATCTAAAGTGTACTTCAGTGTGTGGCTCACTTTGGTTGTGGGCTTCCTTGTCATTTTTTGTCACTTTTACGAAAACTATTTTGATTGTGTTACTTACAGTTTACAGTGATCTGCAAAATAGATTGGCCGAGTTTAATTGAAGAACTCCTTGATTTCAAACAGGTTCCAGATCATATTTATGCGTTTGCGTTTGTGCTGACACGTTTCAAGAACATATCACCGACTTTATATATATATATATCACACCATCAGCGCCGTCAAAAGAAGAAAAAGAAAAAAAGATAATATGCACGTTGAGCTTTTCTTCCACACAGCTTCATGAAGAAAAAGAAAAAAAGATAATATGCACGTTGAGCTTTTCTTCCACACAGCTTCATTCAGATCCACAAATAATATTTTCACACCCCTACGTCGACTGCAGAGTGAAATACTATTTAGCTGGGCCTTCAACTTCTACCATAGGTATGGGCCTTCAACTTCTAAGCCCACTAATGAATTTAAACGGGCTCCTTCCACGGGATAGAATTTAATTGGGTTCCCCTAATATCAATTATTTACAACAAAAATTATTACATTGATTTACAATTTGATAAAATACTAATCATCATTGGATCATAACTTATTGGTTTGTACTATTGTTACTGGTGTGTCATAATGCTGATGGAAATCTGAAAGTATACTTTATGTGTAAACGATGAATAAGTATGGATACCAAATTTTCATTTCATTTTGATATTATTTAGTGAAGATATCTGTATAAAAATTGTTTAATAGATAAAAAATACACATCACCACTTCCACAATCAATTATGTAAGGTGATGCATAACTGTTTTGCAAATTTCCTGTTTGTAGTATAAACAACAGGATTTAGGAAAAATGCTTGATTTTCGTATGTATAGAGCTTTTTTTTTTTTTGCATTATCCCTAGTATTTTATTCTAAAACTAGCAGAATTTTCACGAATTCATTAAAAATTAAGAATTAAGAATAATCCATTGACTCTTCGCGGTTAAATAAAATTCCAATAGTGTACAAAAACGAATTTGGGTCATTTTAATACTATTAGTATACTGCATGGGGCGACGAGCATAAATAGACACCAAACAACAAAACCCACTTGTCATGTTCTTGTTCTTACAAAAGATTACTCCCTCCGTTTTCGAATAGTTGTCATTTTAGAGAAATTTTTTTGTTTTTAATTAGTTGTCGTTTTCAGTTTTTGATGCAAAATTTATTATTTTTTTATTTTTTATATTTATTTTTATTATGCAACTTGATTTACTATTGGTTAAATTATGTTTAGGTAGATAATTAATGATATTTTTATATTGAAAAACTAACAACATTAATAGTTTCTTAATTTGTGTGCATATAGTTAAAACGACAACTATTCGAAAACGGAGGGAGTATTAGATATTGTCACTTGTTCGTTACCTCATTTAGGCCTGGGCAAAATACCCGGAACCGAATACCCGAACCAAAAAACCCGAACAATACCCGAACCGAACCCGAACCCGATTTTTAAAAATACCCGAATGGGTTCTAACCTCTTACCCGAAAAAAACCCGAACCGAACCCGAACCGAATCCAATACCCGAATGTACCCGAATACAAATATACACCTATAAATATTAGCTATATTTATATTTATAATACCCGAAATACCTAAAATTACAATCATAAATCCGAATATATTAGGTATTTTAGATATTTTTGGTTATATTTGGGTAAAGAGTAACCATTGTATTTTCTATAAATCGAGTATTTCGGTTAGATTTGGGTATATATGAGTTAAAAACCCGAACCCGACCCGAACCCGACCCGAACCCGAAAATATTTCGGGTATTTTTGGTTATTTTCGGGTATTTTGCTTTTTTTATTAAAATACCCGAACCGACCCAAACCCGAACCGAACCCGAACCAAATTTTTAGAATACCCGAATGGGTCTTGACCCCCTACCCGAATAGATCCGATACCCGAAAAAAAAGAACCGAACCCGAACGGGTACCCGAATGCCCAGGCCTAACCTCATTCTAAAGAACACTTCACCCCTCCCAAATCCCAACTTTTCCTTCCATTAAATTAACAAAAGTTGTTCGCTCTTCAGGTTCTGTTTCACTCCAACATGAGTTTCTTTCCCTCAGTTGGTGTATATTTCCCTCTCTTCACTTATGTTGTTGGCGTTGTTGGTTAAAAAAAAAAATCGAAAAGTAAAAATATATTGTGATACCCCAACTAAATCAATGATGATTGTGTAACTATACAACTTAAATGTTGGCCTTCTTGTTTGTTTGAGCTATACGTTGTTCCAATTACTTAATTTGTTTCAACTATTGTATATAAAAACAGCAATTTCAGCGGAAGGCGATTTACGATTTATATGATTGAAACTAGCAAAATCGGAAAAACTACGACAATGGTTAAAATATCATTTGAAGTAAGACGGATGATTTTGGTGCGTGTTTAGTCGACACTGCCTTTATTATATAGTTGTTCTCTCACTCTCCCACGAAATTGCTTGCTTCGTAATACCGTGGACTGTGGAGAGTATACCTCATACATATCTTAAGTTCAACCGCCAATGAGGACCGAGTCTTTAATGGACTTATTCTTCATTTCAACCACAATTTTCTTCTAACCCAAAACGGATCATTAATTATGCTTGGCATAAACAAGGAATTAAAAATACGCTGCAACACCTTTCCCTTTCATGAAGAGCCAAAAGAAATGGATTAAATCAAGAAAACAGGATAGGGGGACAAAGGTGAAAGGCTCTTTGGTTGGTTCTTGGCCCTACGCTTCTTTTCGCAATCATCTATCTCTCGACCTATTTGGCCCCCACCATAATCATATTCCCATTTTTTTCTTCTCTGTCACGTGTCCTCTTTTCCTGTAAATTCTATCTTTATTTTTCTCTCCTTGTGCATGGATAACCCTTTTCATAGTTTCATACTTTCATTCATCCATTGCAAGACAAACTGATAAGTTTATGATTTTATCACATCTGTCTTGTATTTCCTTTTTCTGTTTGAATAAATTTAAAATCAAAAGTAAATTAATCTAGAGATTTCTAAAGTATTTCAACCATATCAACTATTTACATTCGTCGACATTATATAAGATTCGATTCCTAAAAACCAATAAAAATTTGAACCACTAGACTGCCATAGTTATTCTTCTTTTTTTTTAATTATTTTTGGAGGGTGATGTAAATCTTGAGTATTTTGTAGTTTTATGATAATTCGTCGATTTGATAATTCTGCGTCAAATTTTATGTTGAAGATCTATGTATTGTTTTCAAATCAAATGAGCAGAAGATAAAATTTAATTTTTGGGTCAAATGGAATTAGGCGTAGCATGGGTCATGGAGTTGTTCGTTTTTATTAATAAACACACACACATCCCTTTTTTTTTTTTGAAAATGATTTTTTATTAATTTACACCTATTAAATTAAATATTTCCTCTGTTCCTAGTTATTTGAAGTTTTAGATTTTTTATTTATTATACCAAGTTTGATGTTTTGTAAAAATATTATTATTATTTTTGTTTGTGACCAATAGTGAAAAAAGAAAAGTAAAAGTAATATTATTAAACTAATAAAATAATAATTAAAAATATATAAAAATTATTTTTTCTTAATTTACGTGTAAAACTCAAAATATCGTTGTTTTAGGAAGAGAGGGAGTATGTTTTTTCTTGCATTTCTATAATCAAGATCTTCTTAGTTTCATGTTCTGTAAAACAATATGTGTAGAAGAAATTTCTATCGTAAAATACATAAAAAGAGTCAAATATTAGGATTGTAAAATTTAAATAAAAGCGTGATTTATGTAAGACTTTAACTTGGTATGTATTCACAGCCCATCTCACGACACGTGGATGTCGCATCTATGAGAAACCTTCCTGGGCCAACATCATCCAGAAAACCACTCCAAGTAGTAAACGAGAGAGAGAGTCTAGTGTATGCAGTTGTTAGATGAAAATTGAATGTATGACACGAAGTGACACGCACAACTAATTAGAGATCGTACGAAAATTATTCATTATTCTAATATTTCAAAGTTAGCTAATATTTTGTTTTTTAATTTGATAGCATGTTATGCATTCGTTAGCCATGCTAAACCTGCTGCAAGCTTTATGGTCCTTGACTCCTTTCGAAGGGTCGTCGGTGGTTGGTCTATCGAGCCCAAAATCCAGCAATCCAAATCTAAAAAAACTTAAAACTCTTATTTTACAACAATGTCCGTAGGTTTTAAATTTTAAATAATGAAAGCGTGACAATTGTAAAATGCGAATAAAACCCTATGTACCCATTTGCCTGTTGGGATATGCCTTTGTTTGCCTAACCATCGGGCCAAAAGTCGTCATGATCATTAGTAACGAAGAAGTGGTATATCCTCCGGTTCTGCTTTTCCCCATTATTACGTGTCTTCTTATAATAATATCTACTTACATTTGAGTTATTCTTTAATTTTTCTTATCCATATTAATAATATAACTATAGCTTCTCTGCGAATATTCGGAGCCCAACTCCTCTCTCTTCACGCATTTTTCGTTGTCAAAAAGAAAGTTCTCTCCTTTTATAAAAACCCATCTCCTCCTCCTCGCTATCTTATTCAAACTTCTCTGAGAAAATTCGAGTTAACTATTTGTTTTATACATTCTTATATGGGTTTCTCTAGAGCTAAACGTGTCACTGATCCACTCGCCGACGAGGTTAGGGCTCGTCTCGTTGGATGCAGCTTTAGCAGCGGCAGCGAACATACCGGCGACGGAATCGAAGACTACGAAGACGACGACTCACCTTGTCTCTCCGATCTCGTACAAGGCTTCTTGGAGGATGAAGTTGAGACCGTTGTTGATGAGTCACGGTGGTGTGATCAAGACTCCGGTTCCGACTCGGATTCTGACTCGGAACTAGTCGAGCTCCCTGACTTTGCCGACGATATTGCCAAACTTCTGAGGAACTCTCTCAGGGAAGATTCATACGGACGAACGGTGCTGGTACACGTGGCGAGAGCGATGGAAGTGTTGTCGTCTCTTGAATCTCAGCACGAACAACGTGCCGTTTTCCAGCGTAAGGTCATGTCTTTTCTTAGAGAACTCGGCCACAATGCGGCCATCTGCAAAACTAAATGGAGATCCTCCGGCGGACTCACCGCCGGAAACCACGAGTTCATCGACGTCATGTATACACCTTCCGCCTCGTCTCAGCCCGTCCGTTACATCGTCGATTTAGATTTCGCGTCGCGGTTTCAAATCGCGAGGCCAACTTCACAGTACGCGCGTGTGCTTCAATCGCTTCCGGCGGTTTTCGTTGGAAGAGGGGACGATCTGAAGCGGATCTTGCGGCTCGTATGTGACGCTGCGAGGATTTCTCTTAGAAACCGCGGCCTCACGCTACCGCCGTGGAGGAAGAATCGTTATATGCAGACGCGGTGGCTTGGTCCTTACAAACGCACCACCAACTTAACGCCGTCATCTACCGCCGTTAACACCGTCATATGTCGTGCCATCGGTTTCGATAATGCCGTCGGTGGCCGTCTATTTGTGCGAACACGATAAAACCAGACCAAAAAGGCCACGTGTCATTTTTAACTTGGATTTTTTCAAAATACATTCTAGAGAATAATAGTATAATTCATTATTTAGAAATTCTCGTTTGAAATTATATAAAAAAATGTGATTCAAAAACAAACAAATTAAAGCCAAGAAAAATCCAGATTTTACGATGAAGAAACAATTCTATGCGGAAAATGAACATCGTCCAGGAAACACACAAGGTTCAGAGAAATCATCGATTGCGACAGGAATACAGATAAGGATTTAATTTACAGCTGTTAGATCTGATCCAATAGTGAGATCCAATAGTGAGAAACTTGAATAGATAGATCAAATGGACTTGAGATTTTGATGTAGAGGATAATGTAACATATTAAAATTATGTGTCGACCTGGAAGTAACACGTAACGTAGTTCTCTCTCGCGTGCATTGAATGTGACTTGGCGTAACAAGACAGGTCCAAGTCTAGGTTCTAGGTGCATGGCTTTGTCGTCTAGTTTCGACCACACCTGATAAAAGCCTTAGGAGAGAGAGAATAAACCAAAATTAGAGCACGTGGTATAGATAAGGTTTATTAATATTTTTACATTTGTTTTTATTCTTTTGGTTTTATGCGAATATTCGGTTTTTCTTTTTCAGACCAGATTTTGCTATCCACAACTGACCTAATCCTTACTGTCTTTGATTTTTTTACGATTTTTATCCATCGTTAATTATAATTTTAAAAAGGTATTGTTGTATTTAACTAATGATTCTATTTCGACTGTTCCGTTATGCATTAATTAATCATGTGATGCTGCAAATCGAATGGTATAATTCCCGAGAAAGATATTAGAAGTAGGTCTAAAAGATCACGACTCATGAGTCGAACGAGTCATTACATAAAGTTGGTCGAAATTGATCTCATCTACTCGATCATAATAATTTGTTTATTGACCTAGCTAGCTAGTCAAATTTTCAAACGTTGCCGATGATTATTATATACTTACTTGATCAAAACAATTAAACAAGTTATGTATAATCTCGCTGATAAGAACACACAAAATCCAAGTTGATAGAAATATGGTTGAAATTATTGTTTTCGATTCTACAAACGATGGAAATAAATTATTCTATTACTTATGAAATTCGATCGTCTTTCTGATTTACTATGTTCTATAAAATGCTGGTTGCATAAACATCTAAATGTTTGTTATGGTGTAGAGATCGTATTGATTGCACATGTACGTATAGCAAACTAAAGTCGTTTTTTCTATCATATTTATTCTTTAATCGTTAATTTCAAATCGATTGTTTCTTGTTTGTTTATCTATTTGTTCTCTCTATATATGGCGAACACGCAACATGACGAATAAAAGAGGAAAAATCAGAGCTAGAGAATCGTCTTCCGATCTCAGAGCGTATCAATCAAGTTAATTATTCCCATATATGACAAATCTTGTGTCAACAATCAATTAAATGTGGTTTAGTTAGGAATCAACTAGTTTTCTCAACAATCATTCATTTTAGTTTGTTGATGCTGATTTTATTTTGCAGTGTAAAGAGTCTTTCTGTTCGTACGCTCTTCAGATCACCCAAGGTTTGCTTATTGTTTTGATTTTTGAACGAAGCAATTATGTGACCTCCAATCTTTAGTCTTTTGAAGAGTAATAAAAAAATTTGATTCCTCGGTTATCTACCTCTTAAAGACCGAAACAGCAAAATAGGATAGGTTGTGTGTGTGACCAAAAATGGAAAAGACGAATAAAAAAATAAAGGAATATAAAAAGAAAGAAAGAAATTTATAAGAAATGGCCTTTGAGAGAATTGAAGTGGCCCAATGAGGGATAGAGCAGTCAAGTGTGGGGTCTCTCTCACCTCTCCACGTTTTTTCTTTTTTTCCAATCGTCTCTTCGCTTCCCTTCGCCTTCTTTTTTGGGCCTCTTTTTTTTTTTCGTTTATTAATAATTTGGGAGTATTATTCTACTTATAATGATTCTCTTAGGAAACAAACGAAAGAGTGATGGATATACTATACATTTCTATTAAATATTCTGTGTAAAATAAGTTGCATGCACAGATGCACTCAACACTTACTTATACAAGGCCAGGCAATGCCGATTAGGATAGATTTGTTGTCTTCAAAGGGAAAATAAAATAAAATAGGATCTTAATTTATAGTACTAATTACTCTTAAGGTTGGCTAGTATGACTATCTCGTGGCATTAGTCGGAAAACATTTTAAACTCGAGACAGACATTGTGGTGGCATTTCTGGAAGAAATCCACTCCAAAATACTTCGGTGCGATTCTACTGAAGCTGACCAGATCATCCGATAGAGTTTATCAAAAAAAAAAAAAAAATTGGCTAGTGACTTCAACGAACTGTGCCCATGCCTGCACTTGGCCATGGATTGAGCAGATGTTGTGGACGTATACCGCTTTATGACCACAAAAAAAATTAAAAAATATGAGCATCGGTTAATAAACGAAATCAATTGGGAGATTAGGATACATCTTTTTTAAAAGATGTTATATAGTTCGTTTTATTGCGTTTTAGGCATTCCTCGTATATATAAAAATGTTCAGACTTATCAACGTTGTGTTGGCCCAGTGGTAAATCTTTCAGGTGGAGGTATTGGGTTCGACGCCCGTTGGGAGGGATCTCTTCTCCGAAGGATATGAATTTAACTTGGTGTGGGTTCCGGCTCTGGTAGATGTAAGGTCTTCGGGCTTGAACTTCCAGATATTAAAAAAAAAATGTTCAGACTTGATATATTGTTCACGTTCTCAACAAATTATTTTATGCATACAACAACAATCACGACCATCTACCTATATGAGCAAATAATGGTTTATTTCTACAAGATTTTCGATTTTAAACTCAGATATTTAGATAAATTGTGTGTGTATATATGAATTGAAAGCCATGTTTTCCTACTTCACAATGCTTATTAAGTAAGGTACAAGGTGGAGATGATATATATAGATGATGAGATCTGATCTGATTAGAGTTGAGGCTTTTTTTCTCTCGCTTCCTTGAAGGAGACATGTGGCTTTCAATAACCAAAGTATGGAATCCCCATTTTCTAGGGCTTGCTTCAACAACCAAATGGGCCTCAAGGTCAAGTTTTTATCCTATGTAAGGCTTTAAAGTCCCCCATACTCAACGGATCTCACCTTTTGGATATAATATAACACCTCAATTGGTGAGGTCTATTGACTTTAAACCCCAATCATTTGTTTGGCCTATTGCATTTTCATTCATAAAAGGATTCAACGAAGAGAATCTTTGTTGTCATTAATGGATAGAAGCATAAATCTTAGTATATTTTGTACAGTTTTTTAAAAACAAATTTTGGAGCATAAACATTCTGACGTAGGAGGGACTTAGTTTTAGTAGTTTTACTTTTCTTTTGATATTTCCTTATTTCACGTTTTTATTTTGCTTAGAATTTTCTATTTTATGTTTTGGTTTCTTCTCTATATAAAGAGAGATCCTAGGTTATTTGCAAGACACGTTTTATCATTCTAATTAATAAAAATAGAGAGCTTTTCTCTAATCTGGTGGATTTCTAGAGTTTCAAACCTACAAGTTCGACGCTTGCTATTCCTAGAGATTCCGACTGCGTCACATTCTATCTCTAGTACATTGTTCTTATGCTACAGAGCTAGCATTTGATAATACATTTAAGATGTTATATAAAAATTCTACTGAATATTCAATGTCAAATATATAAGTTGCATGCACTCGACACTTATACAAGCCAGGCAAAATATAGTTTATCCACCCATATGGTCATATGGAGTATGATAAAATAAAGTGTCTTCTGTACATTTAAATTAATGAAAAACTTTAGTTTTATATGGAAAATATCGTAAACGTACTATGTAATAAGATTTTGAACATATATAGGTTGTTACTTGTTAGTAAAACAAAACATATGGGTTGTGTGTGACAAACGAAACATACGTGTCAAATGGGCCTCTTTCATATGTTCCACATAACATGATAACATCAATATAATAATTATTTGATTTCTTTCAATTATTGGTCTTGTCTTCTATCTTACAACACTTTAATTGGCTTCCAAATACGTCCAAACCCCATTAATGATCTTCTGTACTCTATATGTATGTCTTTTTTAATTAAAATTTTCTAATGTAAGAAATAAAACTGAAAAATTACGAACAAAGATTGGTTATGGTATCATATTCAGAAATATTCATCTAAAATATTTTCGATTCTTAAGTATATATGGACTGACAAATTACTCTACACCAAAAAATAGCTTACAAGCTAGACTGTATCTACACCCATCAATGTCGACGTACATTCAACAATTTCCACTTGAATCTTCAATCATCCCAAAACACTCCTTTATTGCTTGGCTCAATTCTCGTCACAGACTTCACACTAGAGACAGATTAATTAGGTGGGGATTGGCAATTCCATCTATTTGTCTTCTTTGCAGTTCCGGGGATGAAACTAGACAACACTTGTTTTTTGACTGCTCTTATGCTGCTGAGGTTTGGCACTATTTCTCTGATAAAGCCCATGTTTCTCCTCCGACATTGTTGAAGAA